CGCGCCATGATAACCTACTATTTGATGCCTGAAATTGAAGCTCGCGATCTCGGCGACATTCAGTTTCAACAAGACGGGGCCTCATCCCGCACATCGCATCAATCAAGCAATCAATCAATTAATTAGAAAATGCATCGATGAGCAGATAATTTCACATTTTGTGAGGATATGTTTGTGTGAGGATATGTAAAGTCTGAAGTCTATGCGAACAATCCCGCTTCGATTCAGGCCTTGGAGCAAAACATCACGCGTGTCTTTTCCCAGTTACCAGTCGAAATGTTTGAATAAGTCATCGCAAATTTGACTCAACAGATGGACCATCTGAGACGTAGCCACGGCCAATGTTTGAAAGAGATAATTTTAAAAAAATAAATGCCAAAGAATGTTCTTTCGAATGATAATAAAAGTTTCCTATTAAATTTAAAATTTTTGTGCTTTTTTCTTTAAAGAAGTAGGGAATCTTTAAACGGATCACCTATTACTAGTGAAAATGGTCGAGATATACGGTTGCATTATGGAACGTTTTCATGAGTTACACCTACTTATAAAAGACCATAATCCTAGCATTTTATGGTTGCAAGAAACTCACATCCCCTTCAATAGCACTCCCACTCCACCCCAGGCCTACGTAGCATACTTTCACAATCGTATGCAAAATACGACAAATAAGCAAGGCTATTTCTATTTATTAAAAAAGGCATTCCCCACAACACCCTAAATATATCATCATTCATCTCCACAATTGCCATAGAAATTAACATAGGCTATAAAATTAAGTTGATATCTTGGAAGTATCTAAGTCAAGCTTGGCCCCAATTTCAAGCTTGCTGCGATGCCATATCTTCGCAATCCCCTATCTCTGAAAATATAAACAAAGAAGCAGCACTTATAAAAAAAATCGTTCATTTGGCATCTCATTTGCATATATCTCAGGCAAAAAACTTTACCCGTAAACCATTTTAACCTTGGTGGAATAAGAACATTTCACTACTTAGGTATAAAAAGCAGCAGGCTTGGGCGGTTAGGCAATTTGATGATTTACAAAAAAAGCAAACGCTTTGTTTAGGTATCATTCCAAACTATCTAAAAGAGAGTGTTTCCAGCAAATCATCAACCACATTAACCCTTCCTCGTCTCCAAGACAAATTTGGCATAACATAAGGTTACTAACAGGCACAGCCAATCAAAGTCACATGTCAGCTATGAATACTGATCAAGGCAGCATATGTAGTGCAAATAAAATACCAAAGTACTTTTCCTTCACTTGGTCAGAATACTCCAAATATTCTAATTTTGAACAAGTACTCATCTCTGAAAAGAACACAATAAACAGAAAAGTATTTAACCCATATAATATCTCGTCTGCTGCATCAGAGATTGAAAAGCTCATCACCTCCATAGAGTTTAAAGAAGCCTTGTATAGCTCAACAGGAAAAACACCTGATTTTGATAGAATTTCCTATCAAATTATAAAACATTGTTCACATGGCTCTGCCAATAGATTACCAAACCTTTATAATAATATTTTTGAGCAGGACATATTTCCAGAATCCTGGTAAAATGCTGACATCGTTCCAATTTTAAAGCCCGATAAACCTCTCGCCGATATTCATAGCTATCGTCCGATCTCCTTACTTTCATGTTTGAGTAGAGTATTAGAGAAGATTATCGCCAAACCATTAATGTGGAAGAAACCATACAAACCCTAACCAAGTAGCTTACAAACCTGTTCACTGTACATCGGACATGCTTTTACATTTCGAACACATTCATTCAACTGCCATCTCAAGTCGAAACCTTGTTACTACACTAGACTTCGAAAGTGCTTTTTTCGAATAGGTATACACGTTGTTCTTCGCCGGCTAATAAAATGGAATGTCGGAAAAAATATATTTAATTTTGTAAGAAGTTTTCTGTCAAATCGAACATTTAGAGTTAAAATTAATAATAAATATTCTGATAAAGTCCCTTTACCAACTGGTATTGCTCAAGGTTCCCCTATATCGGTAGTGTTTTTCATTATAGCTTTCGACGAAGTGAGTAGTTATAGCTAATTGTAGAGTAGAACATGCTCTTTATGCAGATGATGTTTTAATATTTTCAAAAAATAATAACCTGAACCAGGTTAAAGATACTTTTTCTAACATCCTTAACGAAATCTCAGAATGGGCTCATAGCACAGGAGCAAATATATCTTATGAAAAATGTAAAACTTTACATATGTAAAAAGAGAAATTGTACAAAATTGTAAACTTCTAAAAGGAAAACTCCAAAGGTTGAATATTACAAAATATTTTGCTTCTAAAAATAATAATTGTAATCAAACTACTTGAATTAAGTCTTTAACTCTTTCTGTTATCGACTATGGTCGACCATTATACGGGTACGGGGAAAAAAGTACTCTCGCAAACATTTCGGTTCGGTTAAAACTGTAGTAAATGCTGGTATATGTTATAAAACTTGAGTTGTCGATCTTACTGATAGACTTGTTGTAGCTGAGTTACAATAAATTTGTAAAATTTCATAAATTCGTGTCCCCTATTCGTTTCAATTAGTGCAAACTTTTGTTATTCTATACCAGCGGACATGCACAAACAAATCTATTTAATTTTATTATAATCAGAGGAGATTTGTCCGATAAATTGTTTAATGAAAAAGAACACAGATTACACCGGGAAACAGTAGTTTTGCTAGGCTGATTCCAAATCTATAGTCAGTTTTTTCGAACAGCTCTAGTTTTCCAAATAAAATTTTCTTGAAGGCGGTCTAAAAAGCTGAAGAAAAAGTACATCTTGATGCTCATGTTACATCCTATTCTCTGGAAATGCAACATGGGCTGTTCAATGTATTGAATGTAGTCTGGAGACTTTTTGTTTCTTAAGAAATTTTGCACAACTCAAATAAATTCAATCCATGCAGATTTCTCCTTATGTGTCACACAATCAGTAAAATGTCGGTCCTATATTAGTTCTCTGATTTGAGGACTGCCAAAAGTATCAGCTTTACTTTTTTCTGTTTCTTAATTTCGGAAATATTTTACTGATATATTTAAAACATTCCCCATCCTACCTAATTTTATATGAAGAGGGGGTAATAAAATGCGGTCTGTGGCTACTAGAGGGGCAGTTATCACATTTCTACTACCCAGTACTAAATTCACTCTCAAAGACCAAACTTTTTTAGTCCACTGTTCTCTCTTGACTCGGCTATCCCATAAGCACATAAAACAGGGGTTTTTGGTATATCCTTCTTGTTGACCCAAACGGAACAATATCATTTTAAGATCGATGCTATCATTATAGTTTATGTTTTTTTTTCTCAAAGTAGTCCAAATAGGTAATTTTTATAGAATCAGACTCTTTTAAACGGCATTTATGCAAGTTCTCTATAATGTAGATATAATGGTTTATTTATGAAATTTAGTAATATTTTGCCCTAAAACTTAATTCATGCAATCCGAACAACGTTATTACTAGAAGTACGTGTATCACTAAAACTAGAGCTGCACGTAAGAAACTGATGGTAGATTTGAAATCAGTAATTTAAATTAGTAAGAAACAGTTTAGAAACCTAATAGAACAAAAAAAGTAAAAGTTTTGTTTATCTGTATTATACCTTGCATACTCATCTGGTAGAGCTAGAATTTTTTAAAAGCTACAGTTGGCTATTAACATAAAACAAGAATGCTGTGCTTCCAGAACTCTTGAATTTTTGTTTTATTTCTAGTTTTTCATCTGAAATTTCTTCGAAAAAATTAACACTAAGGAAGTATTAATGATGGTTGGTTGTACATAACTACATTTGAGAAGGAAATGTTTAGAGCTTACATTAAAAGGAGTTTTGGAGTATTATATTAAAAGTAATCTTAAATGACTTGGAACTTGAATTTTAGGTATTAACAAGGCTTAATACAAAATTATTTAAACCATATCCTACATATCACTATCTTTTTAAACTAATTTGAAATCATGGAAAAATATTTACTAAAATATGGTATTTTTGAAAGCTTAACTTCTTAATAATAAATGTCACATCCTTTGCATAAATTTAATTCTTATGGAAAAATTTAATTAAAATCTAATCGAATAATATATCAAATATTTGCTTTTCCAGATAAAACCTGTCAAAATAACTACAAGAAATTTCTGTGTTTATATTTAAGAATCAGCAAGTACTCCATTGCGTATACGTTACCACTGAATGTCTGCATTTTGCAGACTCCCTTCATAGAGTACATACGTACAGAAATATGCTTTTGTAGGAAACTCATACTTTTGATTCTCTTTGAAAGAAGTTTCAGTGCAGAGCTGAAGATAATATGTAAATAGTGAAGCCTGACATGAAGTGGAGAAGCAAACATATGTGTGTATACTCCCTGTTAAGTGGAAGAGAAAATTCTCGACATATCTCTGAACAATTTTCATCACACGAATCAGAGGTTTGCGTTTTCACTAACACATACATATGCACACATATAAATGGTATATGGTATATGATATATTCCATATGGTATATTCCATATACCACATATATATACATATAATATATATATGTATATATTATATAATAATATGTTATAAGCACATACCATATATAATTGCTTTGTTGCCGCAGTTCGGTGAAAACTCCGATTGGCTTTGTTGCACACGCACAGCACCGGAGACTGGATTTCCGCCTGGCTGACTTAATGCATTCCACGGCACTACTCTTGTTTGATACGTATGTGTATGTGTTCGTAATGCAGCATTTTCATAAGTAATCGCCGACATATTGCATGTTCTAATAAACTATGTATGCCACAAAGCGCAGGAGAACTTGAGAGATGAATTAAACATCAGCTTTTAAGGATTAGCAAATCTATTAAATGGAAACCATTTAATGAAAGGATGAATTTGTGGATTCTGAAATTTTAATAATTGAGTGCCATTAAAATTTTTATTAAGCTAGTTAAGTGTGAAATATATATATTAATACTAATAAATATTTTCCTTTATTTTCAGAAGATTGTTGTGGATTTGCAGTGACAGTGTAATCAATTACTAAATAAAGTAATCAGGTAAGTGAAGAAAGATAGTTAGTTATATTTTGGTTCAAAATTGCATGAAAGTAGTTAAATTATGTAATTTTAGTATACATTATATTCATAATAATTAAAATTTTTCAGCTAAAAATGCTTTAAAAGCCAACGAAAATACTTTCAATATTATTTCAATTCAGCTTTAACAAAATATCGCTCATTGCCTTTTTTATACGTCACTTCCGTTTATTGCGGAATTATTAAGTGACAGTGTCGAATGTCTGCTAAAACAAAAATGATTTTTGGGGCGAGTGCGAGTGTGGTAGCCATTAATTCGCCTCATAGGCCTCACAGCCATTCCATTAACGTTTCGTTTGTCAATGTCAGTAGGAGGGAGTGGTTGCTCCTCTTGTGGGGCTATGAAACGTAAGGATCGCACCGTTCAGTGATTTTTGGAAGGTGAAAGTTAAGGCGCATCTCTGACTATTGGAGAAATTTAATGGCCATCACTGCTGCCATGTAGCTGTCGCGTTTCTGTCTTGTTCCTGACATTCAAGCATGGCGGCAACCCCAATGACGGCTTCACTTTTACCCCAATTCAGAGGGTTTATTAATATGGCGATTCATATGGCAGATGAAGAGTATTAAACTATAATAATAGCTGTATATATTTGCAATTTAAATCGAGAATTAAAGTTTGAATTGTAATGTTTACAAAATTTGTTTTAAATTAAAAATGTAATTTTTTTAAGAAAAAAGCAGGAATTCCCAAGCGAAAATAAAATCAATAGTCATAGCAAAAACTCGAACAAGCAAACTGTAAATAGAATTCTTAATGCGCTTAAAGGCATGAAGAAACTAGCATTAGGACGTATTTTTAACAGTCTCTAGCTGAGACTTTCCTGAACACATTTTTGAATACGCTTTTGTCGAGAAAAATTTCCATTAACTTGGCGAGGATATTCAATACTTATACACTTATGACTCTTAGCTAACTCTGCCTATTATGCGCAAAGTATATCAAGTGTACTTCGTATTGATATCAAAATTTCCATGGTGGCTGGAAATAGGTTAGACAGTTTGTCTCAATTTTTAGATTTCATTGGAACTTTGTTAGTCATGTTTTATATCGAATTTTTTTCCATATGATGTAAAATATTACCCTTAGTATTATTTCATATATACATATATATATTTACCTCAAAGTAGCAATCCTCAAGCCTAATAAGCAAAATCCGAGAAAGCGAAAAGCACATTAATTTACAAAAATAAAAGAAATATTTCCAATTCACTCAACATAAATATTTTTGCTTAGCATTTGAAGATAAAAGTTTTAGTGACGAATTCATTTCAATCAAATTGAAATATGTCACGTACTCTTTTAGCAAATCAACCTGAAAAGTGAGTATTTTTCCATATCAATAAAAGCAATATTAAAGAAAATTATGCTCATAAATATAATACACACAATCAATTTCAAAAGCTATGAGGTGACTTAGCTATGCTTTTATACATATAGGTATACCATATGTGCTCTGTGCGGTCACATGCAAATTATTGAGTCTTTGTGCCGAGCAACTGTATAAAGCGTAGCTATGTGCGCCAAAGGAAGATTGTATATATTTATATATGTAAATATTACCTCAGAGTCATAGCATATTGGTATTTCGACAGCAGGATGAGCAGAGTTTGGAACACGCACAATTTATATAATATTGAGAGTACACGCCTAAAGCTGCCCGGAAATGACTCGCGCTCATGTGTGTGCGTGCGAATAATCGACATTCCAGCTTTGTGACACACCACTCTTTGCCATTCCGCGATTGTGAAAATATTTCTCCAAACTTAAATTAAAATATATTTAGCATTATTTTGGTTTTAGAGGTGAGGGTGAAAATAAGGGAGGATCTTAAGTGGGTGTAGTCGTACTTTTTGTACCCACTGTACTAATTTTTAAACGGAAATAAATTGTGTCGCAGATAAATGCACAAATGCTTCAATATACAAAAAGTTCTAATCAACAGCTAATAATAAGATTAGCTGCAGATGGAGAGTTTCGAACCCACACCGCGCGTGCAGGCATCACAAAATTGTTTCGAAAACACCACGTTTTCATTTCCAAGTGTATTGTGTAATATTATATAATACCATTCTAATTTATTGCGCTGGGTTTAAAAATTAAATATATACTCACCAACATACACACAAAGATAAATGCGCAATATATAAGTAATATGGATAATATACCCCACTGTATCCACGCGTGGGAAGACAAAGTACAAAGTTTTATCGAAACGGAAGTACACACGTGCGCGCGGAGGGTTGTGTGTGTGTGTGCCAAATTTCAGAAATATTTTATCAACCTCATAACCGGAACAAATTGTTATTAAGGTGAATTTCCACTGATGGTGGATTAGCGCGAATACTGTCGTGAGTGCCACAGGGCCTGCTTTGCCAACGCGAGTATCCTCTCCAATCGTTCGTTATGTAAATACTTTAATACATAAATACATTTACATAAGACAGGTTCAATATTATTGATGTATGTAAATGCACTTCGTCGCAGGAAGTTGTGAAGGCGTATTAGGAGGATTAAATATGCCGGGCTGTTTAATTTAACAACATAAATATATGTGTATGTATCTTCATGTTGACAGCTTAAATTTTTAATATCTAAGAAGCTTAATTTATTATCAAATCTTTTAGCGAAAATATACCAAGAACCAAACTAAATGATAAGTTCTTAATTTCAATATATTGGTAAAACTTATAAATAAGATTTTCATATACTCTCGGTAAAACATAAAATATTTTTATGTGAAAAAATTGTTAACTTTCTATAGAAAAATACAAAATATACAAATGATACAATTTCAGAATATTGCCTTATCAATTCTAATTGGAAACCGTTCACTTCTTTAGAATTCAATAAATGGGTATCACACAACAGCAAGTTTTCTTCCACTGGTTTCTTGAGAGCTTACTCTCCGCTAACATTTAAAAATAATTACGACAAAATATTATTTATACGGTAAAAAAGTGTATATATTATATATTAATGTCCATCTTGGCCAAATAATTATGAAAATATGAAAAAAAAATTTCCAAAACTACTTTGTCCACGTGGCTGAAAACTGTTTGATCTGAAATTTAGAATATTTCCAAAACAAGTTTACCTTAATAAAGATATGGATATTTTAAATTACATATTCCATTTCTTATAAATACTTGTATTCAAAAACCAAATGTCTTTAAAACAAAAATTTTATATAAAAATAAAGAAACAATCGGCATTTTAGTTCAAATATCAATTACGACCATAGCCCTAATATTATTTTAAATGAGAGGAAAATTATTTTAAAAACATTCAATTACATACTTAGATAACTAAGTTCGTTAAATATAGTACAGATTGGTTTGGAAGTGTCTGCTCTCACTAAGAAATAGCACTACTAGCTTCAAATTTTTATTTCTCAAGTTGCCATTTGGAGTTGATATGTCAGAGTGTTTGTTTAATATGGAAAGAATTGAATATCGTTCAGTGATTAGACTATTTGTTTTGAAAGGTTTAAAAGGAAAGGAAATTTGTTTGACTAAGCGTAAAATTGCTAATGCCAAAGCTATCTTCGACGAAAGAGTACTTTATATTTTACATGGAGAGTTACATATGAAAAAGCTGTTTGGAAAGTTCCACACACGTTAATAATTTAACAAAAACTGGATCGAAAGCAAATTTCTCAGCATAATTTGAAATGTTTTAAGCAGAATTAACCAATTTCTTGCATCGTTTTGTAACTATGGATGAGACTTGGGTCTACCACCATAATCATATATTGAAACAAGAACGTTTACAGTGAACGGAAGCTGGTTGTTCAGCTCCCAAGCAGGCGAAGTCACAACGATCAGCAAAGAAGGTTATGACATCAATTTTTTTGGGATGCAAAAGGAATTTTGTTGATTGATTATCTGCACAAAGATAAAACAATCAACTCTGGATATTATTGCAGCCTTTTAGAACCGCTGAATGAAAACATTCGTGGGAAAAGAAATGATTTGCAGCACAAAAAAGTTAGTTTTCCTCAAGATAATGCACCTGCTGGCAAAGTTGTTTTAACAATGACATAATTCAACGAATTACTCTTCAAAAAGAACAATTTCTTCATGAAAAACGTTTTTCGTCGAATGAAGAAGCCATTACAGCCAAAAACGGATATTTTGCAGAGCTTTCGGAAAGTCATCATAGTGATGGCATAAAATTGTTGGAGGAACATTGGAATAAGTGTATTGAAGTAAAGAATAATATATTGAATAAAAAATATATTTCGTACCAAAAATAGTATTTTTTTTATTTTGAGCGCAGAAACTTTTCAACCAATTTTTACTTGCTTAAATTCAGTGTCCGTAGCCTGATTATACTATTTCTTATCAATATTTGTGTGGAAAACTTGGTCTCAAGTAAGCTACACAAGAACATTGGGTATCAACTTTAATGGGTGTTATTTTAGTCGTGTGATTTTCAAGAAGAAACAAAATGCAAGTCATTTAATATTATGGACAGGAATTTAGCTTTCTTATAAAGCTAGGGATTTGCTAATATGGTCTAAAAATTATTTCGGCCAAGTAATCGTCAAGGTTGGCTCAAATAAGTTTTAGGCGAGAGGCCCAATTTACGACCCCTTTTTATTGCAAATGAAGCCGTATGTCAGTAACAACGCGCGTCCATCGGTATTAAATCACACGATTTTGTAGGCCACGCCACAGTCCCACGAAGCGAGATAATACGCTCATGAAAAGTTTCCTTCAATAAATTGATTGTTTCATTGGCTGTATAGCATGTAGCGCTGTCTTTTTGAAACCAAAGGTCGTCCACATCAACATCCTTCAATTCAGACACGAAAAAGTCATAAATCATAGCTCTATAGCGTTTCCATTGACTGTAATTTTATGGCCGGCTTCACTTTTTAAGAAATATGTATGGAGATGCCCATAGAGCACACAAAACAGTGTCATAAGGATGTAATGGTGTCTCAACAATTACT